GGTCACAGTTCTGGGTGGCGGTCCTGGGGTGAGGAGGAGCCCTGGCGAGGTGGAGCTTGTAGTGGTGGTGAGGAAGAAACCCTCCTCACAGTTCCAATACAGAAAAGACTGCTTGTGGCCGGTCACTCAAAGACCAGAGCACAGGCCAGGAAAAGAGTAAACACCTCGACCCTTATCATACCACCTTGGAAGAACTGAAAATTTACAGGTCCCTAGAAGTATCTCTGAAAACAGCTATACAAACCCCTGAAGCTTGGGACAGTACATTCTCCACATTGGAAGCAGACTTTTACCTTAACAAAGAGTTTAAAACTCAAGTAGTTGGCTGGGATCATGAGCAAACTCGCAAAAAGAGTCAGACTATATTATCTTACTTTGGTGACAAAGAAGATCAAAACATACAACCAGAAGAAGACAACAAAGTCAAAGCTCCCACATCCAAAGCCTCCAAGAAAAATATGAATCCTCCCAGGCCTTGGAAGAGCTCAAAAGGGATTTTGAGAAGCAAGTAAGAGAAGTAGAGGAAAAACTGGGAAGAGAAATGAAAGTGATGCAAGAAAATCATGAAAAACAAGTCAACAGCTTGCTAAAGGAGACCCAAAAAAATACTGAAGAAAATAACACCTTAAAAAATAGCCTAACCCAAATGGCAAAAGAGGTCCAAAAAGCCAATGAGGAGAAGAATGCCCTAAAAAGCAAAATTGGCCAAATGGAAAAGGAAGTCCAAAAGCTTACTGAAGAAAATACTTCCTTAAAAATTAGAATAGAGCAATTGGAAGATAGTGACTTTATGAGAAATCACAACACAGTAGAACAAATCCAAAAGAATGAAAAATTAGAAAACAATGTGAAATATCTCATTGGAAAAACAACTGACCTGGAAAATAGATCCAGGAGAGAGAATTTAAACATTATTGGACTATCTGAAAGCCATGATCAAAAAAAGAGCCTAGACATCATCTTTCAGGAAATTATCAAGGAAAACTGCCCTGATATATTAGAACCAGAGGGCAAAATAGAAATTGAAAGAATCCACTGATCTCCCCCTGAAAGAGATCCCCAAAGGAAAACTCCTAGGAATATTGTAGCCAATTTCCAGAATTCTCAGGTCAAGGAGAAAATATTACAAGCAGCCAGAAAGAAACAATTCAAGTATGGTGGAAACACAATCAGGATAACACAAGATTTAGCAGCTTCTACATTAAGGGACCACAGGGCATGGAATATAATATTCCGGAGGGCAAAGGAGATAGGATTACAACCAAGAGTCACTCACCCAGCAAAACTGAGTATAATCCTTCAGGGGGAAAAATGGTCATTCAGTAAAATAGAGGACTCTCATGCCTGACTCCATCCAGTTAGCCACAGACAGCCTGAGCTTTGTAAAGGCTCTTCATTTTTTCACCTTCATTGGTGGTTTCTTTCTTTATCCTTTAAGAAAAAAATAGGAAACCAGGCCAGTGGGGCCTACCTTATTTAGATCCTCTGGAAACTCTTCTGAACCTGGTAATTCCAAGTAGGACTCTAGAAGGGATTCAGGCATTAGTCCAACCAAGACCACATTTTTAAAAGACCAAAGAGGAAAGTAAAATCTCAGTGCTAAATTAGTTCCATGTCTGCCTTATCTAAAGAAAAGCTCCTACCCCTTCAATAACTCATGTAGAATATCATTTCTAAGTTCCTTTAGACCAGGACTGTTTGACTTGCTTAACCAGGGCCTTTCACAGAGTTAGTGCTTTATAAATACTCATTTAATTGAATTGAATGTGTAAGAAATGTGAAAAATCACAAAAGTCTAAGTTTGAGTACTAGCTTTTCTACTTGCTACCTATCTATCTTTGGTAAAATCCCATAAATTCCTTATGTCCTATGAGGGGTTTGAACCACTATCTATAAGGACCCTTCTAGGTTAAAACTCTTATTTCAAAACATATAAATAAGAGAATTACTGTGATTAGGCAACTATAGGACAACCCCAAGGAGGGGCTATGAAACACTCTGTCAATATGCATTTATTAAGCACCTTAGGCACAATACTAGTAGCTGGGAATAGGAAGACCAGCCACATTCCTTACATTCCATTTAGGGGGAGGTATTAATATAGATAAAATATATAAGAAATAAATACAAGGTAATGGGAGAGGGCACTAGCGGACGGGGAAATGAAGAAAGTCTTAATGTTAAAGGTGGTACTTAAGGTGAGTTGTGAATTCTCAAACGTGGAGATAAGGGAAGGCATTCCAGGTATGTGGAAGATGGAAGGATGATACTTGAAGATGAACCCCTGATATCTTATCTGAAAAATCCCAGTAGTTTTATCTAGTCTGATATTTTTTCCTAATGTCGGAGCTTCTCCCCAAAGCAGTAAATATTATTTGCCTTGTAGTAGGCACCAAAATCAAAACTAAAAATAATAGTAACAGACAAAAATATTAGCCATAACATAATACAACATCAAGAAGCAACTGATTTCTGTGGTAAAGTACCAGCTTTGCCAATCAAATAACAGCTGCTTGGCATCCCTCCTGCTTGGCATCCACAGCAGATAGCTTAAACATGAATGTCATTCGTAGGATTTAGAGAAAAGCCTTTAGAAATTGTGCAGGTCAAATAACTAATAATTAAGGAAATAGGGGTTCAGAGAAAAAAAGTGACTTGCCAGAAATCACCCAAATAATGAGGAACAGAGCTAAGACTCAAACTCAGATTTCCTGCCTTCAAATCCAGAGCTTTTTGCCCTGCTCCAATCAAGATATGAAAAATGTACTGACAAGCATTACTCAGAAATGTTTAGGGCACTACAGGCAGCTGAAATGCATCACAGGGGATACTTTTGTATGGCCCTAGCTGTCTGCTCACTTCTCTCTGCTGCCAGAAAGGTCTTGCGTGCCTCCCTACTGTTATATAGTGGTGTTAGGTGCTCTCCTTGCTCAGTTAGCCCTTCATAGCCAAGCCCATGAAAAAATCCACCTCACCGCCTGGCCACCTCCCCTCTTCCCTTCCTCGCCTTTTCCCTCATTCCCTCCTCCCCACCTCCCCTTCTATCTCCTCCCCTCAGAAAGCTGTCCACCTTTTGTACTCTCTGTTTTCCTGCCTCAGGATAGCAGCCACTCACAGCCCTTCAGTCCCACAGGCAGTTTTCTCTGGGGTTTTTTCTCTTCCACCCTCCCATGAATGACAATTAAACACTTTCTGCTGGCAAACACCTCAGAAAGTTGCCATGTTGCTAACAGTTTGCAACTTTCTCAGTAGCTCCACTTACTTTAACACTAATGCTTGTACAACTTGCTAATTAATGGAATCATTTGAATCTGAAAACATCTTGTTTTAATAGGAGGCTACAAAGCATTCTCAGTAAATTCACCAGTAAAATCATTCCATCTTTTTTCCCCTTCCTGGCTTGGTTTAATCACTAGAAAGTATGCTTCTAATTAGCCTAACAAATCCTGCTCCACCAGGTATGACTTAAGCCTCCACTCTAAGGCAGTGCTTTTAGAAAAGACCCTTGATCTATCCAAAAATGCCTAGACTGATGAAGGAAATCAGGAAGGAGGTAGGTAAAAGAGATGAGCCCACACAGAGATATTTCATATGCCATTTCCAGGGATCAGCAGCTTGATGTAATGGAAGTGTTATATTTGGAGTTAGAAGGCTTGGGCTCCAATTAATAGAAGAATTTCCAAATGTAACAATTGTGTTATGTGAATTATTGGACTATCATTGCACCATAAGGAACAATGAATATGACGATTTCAGAGAAACATGGAGAAATATGTGAATTGTAAAGTGAAGGAAGTAGAACCAAGAAAACAAACTATATAGGGCAGCTAGATGGTGCAGAGGATTGAGCACCAGCCCTGGAGTCAGGAAGACCTGAGTTCAAATCTGGCCTCAAATACCAACTGTGTGACCCCAGGCAAGTCACTTAACCCCAGTTGCCTAAAAAAAAAAAAAGAAAGAAAGAAAAGAAAAGAAACTATATGACTACAATAATGTAAATGGAAAGAAAAAAACAACAAAAATTGAATGCTGTGTCATTGGGATATCCAAACTTGGTCCTGAAGAAGACATGAGAAAATGGACTTTCCTTTCTCTTGATACAGAGCATTACATATACTGTCAGACTCAGCTGATATGTTAATGAATTTTTTATTTCTTTTTTTCCCCTCATTCTCCCTTGTATTCTTTGTTACAGGGAATTATTCTCTGGGTTGGGGAGGTGGGAAGGAAACATTTGGAAATGAAGGTGACATAAAATCAAAAGATATCAATAATTTTTTAAGGAGAAGATTTGGACTCTAGCTGCACATCTGTTACTTACTAGCTATTATATGACCTAGAATAAGTCATTCTTTGAGCTTAACTTTCCACATCTGCAAAATGGGGCAAACACATCATGGTATAATGAAAACAGAACAAAACTCTGTACCTGATATCAGAGGCTCTGGGTCCAAGCTCTCTGACTTAGGACAAATCATTTTTAGAGCCATGCTGTCCTCAGCTGTACGATGAGAATAATACAGTAGCATGGAAGCGCCTTAGCACAGTGGTTTGCGTGTTCATCATTTAGCCTGATCATGTGGCCAGAGCACTGGCTCCTACATCAGAAGACCTGGGCAGAAGAATCCTACCTCTCACACTTTTTGGGTTACTTTGGGTAAGACACAACCTGTCCAGATCTCAGTTTTCTCATCTACAAAGTGAAGAATTTAGACTAAATGGCCTCGGAGGTGCCTTCTAGATCTAGGATCCTATGAAAGGATTTTTAACTTAAAAAATGAAAAAAATAAATTTTGTCCAATCTATATAAGCCATGACGACCGAGGAGATAATATACATAACATCATAGCATTTAGAATTGGAAGGGGCCTTAGAAATATAGGACACCCTCATTGTACAGATAAAGAGATAGACTGAGACAGGCTAAGTAACATAAAGACCTTTAGAGCCATGGCAATCATTCACTGTGAGTTATCCATGTTATCATTCTCTCATTGCAGGTCTACAAGTGGTTTTAAATTCCATCATCAAGGCCATGGTTCCGCTGCTGCATATCGCCCTGCTTGTGCTATTTGTCATAATCATCTATGCCATCATTGGGCTGGAGCTCTTCATGGGGAAGATGCACAAGACTTGCTACAATCAGGAGGGTTTAACAGGTAATGAGATATGGAAAAAAATAGGGTGCCATTCACTAGTGAAAGGGTGTACTGGTGCACTGCTATCAGAGCTTTGAAGAGAACGGGCAATCCCTTGGAATTTTAATTTGGAATTATTCAAAAAAAGTGACTTAATCCTTTGACCCAGCAATTTCCCATCTATACTCCTAGAATATAAAAGACTGAAACAAAAATCTCATCTACATTAAAACATTCCTGGTAGCATTATTTATGTCAACGAAGAAATGGAATCAAAGTGAATGTCCTCAGACTGGGGAATGACAGGGGAAAAAAAAACATGGAATAGGAATGTAATTAAATATTATAGGGAATAAGATGAATTCAGGGAAATGTGAAATTTGCATGAACTGATTAAGGGCAAAATAGGCAGAACCAAGAAAACAATATAAACAGTGATTACAACAATATAAGTGAAACATCACAAAAAGTAAGTTGAATTTTGAATAATGGAAAAATAAATAATGGCCCAGAAAAGAGATTCCAAGTGCCTCTCATGACAGAATGATGGGGAACTACAGGAACAAATTACATACATTGTTAGACACAGTTTCTATATTTGTTTTCCCTTAATTATTTTTCTTTGTCATAAGGGATATACAATGCTTGCCCTTGGGGTTCACTTTATAAAGCTAGATTCACAGGCTAGTACTCAAGAAGCTATTTATTCCTTCCAAAGGCTTGCAACTAGGACACATTTCCCCAGTGTAAATTATGGGGCCTGGGTTATGGCCTTATAATTCAGTTAGGCTTCCCATAGGGATGGATAGTACCTAAGAAAAAGAGATTAACGGACTTTTCTAGCCTGTTCTGCTTCTTTACAAAAAACAGAACTAATTAAAACAGTAAAAAGTAATAAAAATTAGAAATTATAAAATAAAATCATAAGTTAGCCAGTATTGTTAATCAAACAGTATACTTAAACAAAATTTGCAATTAAAATGAGATTGAAAGAAATATGAAAGAAATCATTGATCCTAAGAACAATCATATCAATTAATCAAAAAGCATTTACTAAATTGTAGAGTTTTTGGACTCACTCTACCAGACCAAGGCTGGTTACATCTCCTCATAGCATTCTAAGGGTACCCGTGAGGGTTCCAAATGTGTCTTTCTCAAATGCTATTGGCTCGAACATCCGTTCTGGTATTCCTCATCCTTTACCAGTGAATAGTGCCCCAGTTCCATTTAACCAATTAACATCAATTAGCTTTTACAAAAAGATGTTTACTTTGAAGATATAGCCAGAACAGAAGTATAAACGTTTTCCCCCAATACTTGGGAGCACACTCTCTCCTATATTACCTTGATCACTAAAGAGCATGGATTCATACTTAATGTAGTTTCTACAAAGTATTTGCCCACCCATTTGACTTCCAAATAAGCTATGGCCAATGGGAAGAGAAGTCTGCATCTCTGCTGCACTGGGCTAAGTAGGCTGCTCAGGATTTTTCTCTTCACCTTCTGGCTTTCAGCAAATCCCAGTACAGGCTCCAGCAATGGACTTGAGCTCCCAAAGTTGTAGCCATCCTCGATCTCCTTCACCTAAAATAGAAATGAATAGATGCAAAGTCGTGGGTTACATGTTGCCCTTGCCTCTCCCCATCCAAAAATTTTCGGTGTGACTCTCTCTTCAAGCACCACTAGGGAGGAAAAGGAAAAAAAAAATACAATAGCAAGCCTCTTGCTTTGACTGGTATTTTGAATGCACCCCATTTCTGTCTACACAGCCAATCAATCGACTATCTCTTCATGACATAGTCAGTCAAACGGGCCTAGTTACAGAATGTCTTCACACACTCCAGTTTGGGTATAAAGGTTCTTCTTTACGCATTATCATGCCTTTCTAGAAGCAGGCTCCTCAGTCTCTTCCTTAGGGGTATTAAATCACCCCCTCACTGCTTCCGCCCCATTACAAAGTGAACACTGTGAGCTAGAGATGCAAATACCAAAAATAAATAAACAATCCCTACCTTTATTGAGCTTAAGATAATAGAATTAGAGACTTTTAGAACTAAAAATAACCTTAGATTTCATCTTGCCCAACTAGAGAGGTGAAGTGCCTTACTTGCCCATGGTTACATAGCAAGTTATTATCCCCTAATCTTTCACTTGTGTCATCACTGCTTAATCAAATGCTGGTTTTACCCAGATAAGAGTAGAACACTTTATAATTTAAGAGTCAAAATGTTCCCAGGGCATGTGTACAACATTGGCATCTGGGGGTGGTGATATAGTTCAACACCAAAATCCCTTGCAGGTGGCTTTTCTAATCTAACAACAACTTCTCCCTTTAAAAGCCTGGAGGTTTCATTTACCCTTTTTCTCTGAACTGAAGGGATGAAACTAGATGATCTCCAAAGTCCCTTTCTGTTCTAATCCTATGAGCTCACAAGGAGCATTTATTCAGGCTCCTTGCTTTTTCTACTGCTCTGTACATGAACGGAAGCAAAAAGAGAAATCTCATAAACACAGTGCAGCCCCTTGCTAGCAAAACAAATACTTGTTTCTGGCCCTTTCACAGCCAGAATAAAGCTTCTCTTCACCTGCCTCTTCAACCTTTTCCTTTTCCTATTCAGGAGACCTCTTTTGCTTCTTCCCTCATAATCATTACTGCTTAAATAGCTCAGTCATTAAACTCTTTCCTTAGTTGTGCTTCCACTCTGATGCTCAAAATTTTCCACAAAAGGCTTTCTAAAAGACTTTGGCATCACAAAATTAACAGCTGATGCTAGAACACAACTTTTAAAAAATTTATTTAAACAGAACTTAAGGATTTAAAACAGTATGCTGGGAAGAGCTTATCAAATTATTTGTATTACCAAACTTAGGCTCTTTAGTTATATATGATCTTAGTGGTTAATGTCTCAGGGATTTTCCTATCTGAAATTGAAATGAAGTCCCATTTATTTCCATTTATATCAGTTACCTGTGATTACATTAGTATGGGAACCCCTTCTATCAATGCAGATTATACAGTGGATGGAGTGCCAGGACTGGAGTCAGGAAAACTCATCTTCCTGAATTCAAATCTGGCCTCAGACACTTACTAGATGTGTGACCCTGGGCAAATCACTTAAACCTGTTTGCCTCAGTTTCCTTATCTGTAATATGAGCTGGAGAAGGAAATGGCACACCACTCCAGTCTTTGCCAAGAAAACCTCAAATGAGGTCACAAAAAGTCGGACACAACCGAAACAACTGAACAACAACTCAAAGAATTATCTGAACCTTAAAGATTTTAAAAGACATGCATGGTCATATAGCTCGTGTCAGAGGCAGGATTTGAACCTAGCTCTTTCTGCTTACAAGTCTAGAATTTTGTCCATTAAGCCATGCTTCCTTGTACCTATCCACTTAAAACTACATTTTCTTCATGCTATCCTAAGGGATATGTTCCATTCAGCCTTTGTATTTTGGAAGTCAATGACATTATTTACACAAATCACTTTTCTGGGCCTCATTTCCCTTATCTGTAAAAGGAAGATGTTAGATTAGATCATCTGTTTGGACTTTTCAAGCTTTTGTTACTCTATGAAAGAATAGGATCATTCAGAATCAGTCCAAAGTGTACTGTTTGGTTTAAATGATCTGGTTAGACTAGCTGCACAAAATAGATTAACTAGCCAATTTTTAGGGTTCCAATTCACTTTATTCAATAATGATAATAATTGCAATCATGATCTGGATTTGTTTGTTAAAATAGAAGCATTTATGACAGCAGTTGAGGACTAGAGTTTTGCCACCAGAAAATTAGAGAAGGGATCCCAATTGTAATGATCAACGTAAATTATACAAGAAAATAATAGAAATTATGCAACACATCATTGCAGGCCATAAAAACTTAACACCTACCAAATAACTAGCAAGACATGACTAAAATTATACTTCAGAAACTCACTATCTTTCATGGTCAGGGAAACAAAATTCCCCAAACCACAGTCCTCAAAATGCACCTCAACCGGTAAATGGAACTGGAACTGAACCATTATCACAGATTGTACTGTTGCCTATAATCTCTAAGACATACTTTGATTCATAAAATATTCAGAATGTTTTAAATAAATGTCACCATACTAAATATTCAGATTTTCTAAGCTGCATGGAATGAAATGCTTTCAAAATATAGAGACCTAGCAAAAGAAATCCAAATCATATGGGAACTGGGTTCAATACATATCATTCCTCTTGTCCTATCCACTACTGGACTTGTACCAAGGATTCTTTCAGTTACCCTAATTAGGATAAATTGACATATTACTACATTGATTTAGCTAGAAAAAGCAGTTATTTTATTCATCTATGTAATAATCTCCCGAGCAGTCAATCAATAACAATTTATTAAGAGCTTACAATGTGTAATGTGAGGTTAAACAAACAAATAAACCACAGTTCCTGCCCTCAAGGAATTCACATTCTAATCAAGGAGACAACTTGTAAACAACTGTGTATAAACAAAATATATACAGGATAAAATAGGAGGTGATCTCAGAGGCAAGATATTAGCAGTGGAACCAGGCAAGGCCTGCTGGGCCCCCCATGGTAGGATTGGAGTTGAGTGTTGAAGGAAGTGAGAGGAGCCAAGAGATGGAGGTGAGGCCGGACAGTTTTCAAACATAGGGGACAGCCAATGCAAAAGCAGAGAATCAGGAGAAGTGTCCTGTAAGAGGAACAGCCAGGAAGTCAGTGTTTCTAAGCCATAAGAGTTTGGGAAAGAGGTTAAGGCTGGATAAATATACCTGAGAATCATCTGGATAGAGGTTATAATTGAATCCATGGGAGTTAATGAGATCAGCAGGTGAGATAGTAATGAGGGAGAAGAGGGCCCAGGACAGATCCTTGGAGAACTAACCCCACCAAGGCTTAGCAAGCATGAAGAAAAAAATCCAGTAAAGAAAATTGAGAAAGATCTGTCAGACAAGTAGAAGGAGAGCCAAGACAGTATCCCTGAGAGGAGATAAAGCAAGTTAGTTAACAAGCAT